ATTTATATTATGGCTAGTGTTTATCACTGTCCTTAATTTGAATATGCAATGCAAATTTCTAAGACAGGTCATTCGGTATTTATGAAGATGAATAATTCTTCCTCCCGGTAGAGTAAGGATTGTAAACGGCAATGTAATCAGCATGTACAGCCTAGAGCTGCTCCACTGACAATAAATGGAAAGGCTGGACTGCTGAGATTATATATGATAAAAAAATGTAACTAAATTCTCATGGTGGTGATAATAAGCAATTGGCAGAGAAACATTGACATCCTCAGAAACCCCCCCTGGGTGCTTTCACTCACATTCTTAATTTCTGATTAATTAACTAAATGCTTGTAAAATCCAGACTGACATGTGATGAATTGCCCTCTTCATTTTGTATTTTTATGTCTTTGTGTCTGTCTGACTTTGTCAATCTCTGTGATTAGAAGCGGATCCAGAAGCTGCACGCAAAGCTGATGCAGCAGAGGCTCAGTCAGATCCCCAGGGTAGGACACAGAGACATACACACACACACATAAACACACACAAAATGCATTTCAAGAACGTATAAATACACAAATCAAACACATACAGTACTCTGATCTTTAAAGTGTCTTTTCCCCCTTTTTTGCAGTCCTTAGCAACCTGTTGAACTCCTCCTAGACCAGCAATGATCACATGACTGCCTAGACCAACTACAGGCAAGCAAAGTGGCAATCTCACTGTTAGGCCCTACCTTCTGTAGAGCTACATTACTGTGAGGCCCCAGAGTAGGGCTGTGTGTGTTTCTGTCTGTTTGATTGTGTGTGTGTATGTTGGACTGTGTGAGCCTGTGTGTGTGAGTGAGAGAGAGAGACTGTGTGAGTGTGCATATGTGTGTTCATTCTTGTGTGTGTGCATATATGTGGGGACAAATGAGTTAGAAAAGAAATAGCAAGTAGATATATGTGAACCTTAGGGCTTTTATGATTGTTGCAAAATAGACATTTATTGAAATGATTGGTCGAACTTTCTACTTTAAACCAAATCCAACAACTTTTTTTAAGACTGGATATTAAAGAGATTAAATCTCAAATTAAGTGTGACCATGAGATGGCAAAATTATAGAACTACCTTTTTTAATTTTATTTGTATGGCTACTATCCAGCTCTAGAAATTCAGTGTGAATATAAACCAGTGACAGATATTGATGTTGTAGACATTCAACTTTGTACTGAATTCTAAAGTGTTTTTTCCTTTCTTTTTTTTGCCATTTATGTCATTGTTTTAGCCACCAATATGATTTCGGAAATCCACTGGCACTATTAAGTAAAACATATATGTCCTTTTCATTGTGATTTCCTGCAGTGCAAATGCAGGGTAGACGGATAACAGGGGGTTTCAATAACTACCGCTGTATTTCCTGAATTCTGGCTAGGAAAAATAGTGTAGGATTACAATTATAGGATTCTGGGGATACAGTTATATGGTCCAACGCATGTTCACTGGGCCTCTAATGTCACTGTATGCTTGTGTGTGTGTTTGTGTGTGTGTCTTTTTTGATTGGTGAATGGGCTTAGTTTTAAATTATGTTGGGTGATTACCATTCCTCCTCAGTTCAATGAATTGATAATGAAATTATGATTGAAATTAAAATGAGTGAATCTTTTAATTAAACACACGAAAAATCTAAATGAAACAAAACAAAAAAAAATATCCCAATTTATTATCTTTTGAACATTGCAAGAATATATATTTGAAATTGATTGAGGTGAGTTGAAGTGAAGACCAGTTCAACCCTGTTCCTGTCAATGTATGATTGTTCACCTGACACGGACAAAAGAGGTCTTGTAGAAATGTATTAGACATTGTTCTGATGTAGTATGTGTCAGTCTAGTTGTGATGCAGTAATTTCTCCTCTATAGTGCCTTTACTGACACAGCCTGGCTTGACCAATCTACAGACACACAGGAAAGAGATCTGGGACAATAAAAGTAAAAACAGCCAAAATAGTAGATGAATGTATCAAATACATTAGAATGATTAATTATTACATTAAAATTGAGAAACATAGGATCTTAATAAATACATAAATTATCATTTTGGTGGTTGAAAAGCCTCAGCGTGAACTGTATGTATGTGAAACTGTTCACATGGGTCTAGTTTTTATTTCCAGTACTTTTTCAACTACTATTGCATTCCAAACTTTTTTACAGCCTCTGTTAATTTCAGCAGTAAAACTCTCCTCTTTGTGTCTCTTTAGTTGAGCAAGCCAGTTGCTGTCACAGTGTTTTTGTATCATTCATATTTCCATTCACCTGTGATTTTTATATGGATTTTTACATCTAGCAGTGGTGCCTCAAAGATGACACAGATAGTCTTTAGTCAACTCGTTTGCTGTGGTATTTTGTGATTATTATTGTGAAATGCCTCAGAAGCAGCGCTACAGCATAAAAATAAAAAAAGCCCAACTGTTGTTGTTTTGTTTTTTGCCACTGTAGCACAAAAAAATATTAACTTCTGAATGTCTTTTTGTTGCCTTGCAGTTTTGTACTTACTCTGCTCCCTTTAAACTTTGAAAAAGGGTTATAGAGGTTGCATAGTGCTGCAGTTCATGTAAACTGTGTTACTTGTAAAGCACCATATAGCTGCAATACAGGACAGAGACTGTTGCTAACAGCCTAGCCTCAAGATGAGAAATATTAATAGTCTGATGTCACATATCGATTAATCCTACTGTATAAACTGTGGGCTGGACGCTGGGTCAAAGCTCTGTTTGAAATGCCTTCTTATCCTTTAATCTGTGATAGACTGAGTTTCTCTTGACACATTGAACAAGTGGATAGTGTCTGAATTCTCTTTACTGCATCTGCTTCAATGGCATGGGGGGATAATGCACAAAATACCTGATAATAGTACAAGCTTTTAGATATAGCCAGTGATGCCTTCAAAACAGAAAATACTCCTTCTAATGCAGTACCTGCCCACTTTGTACTCTCTAATAAGTGCAATAGGAATCAACAAAAGCACTCTGCTGTCCTGCAGTGCACCTTCAGAAACCTTTCTGTGGCTGATTTGATGTAAAGCAGACACCCTATCCCTACAAACGGAACAAGGCCTGCTTGTGTTTTGAGCATTATGGTCCACTCTACATTTAGTCCCAAGCCAGTCAGATTCCTTGTAAACACAAGTGACTGGAGCATAGCATCCAAACCAGAATGTAAAACAAGGAAATCATAGACTTATTGGGTCCTGAAGTGCACTTTCCAGATAATGTTAGGGCATCAATCATTGCGCTGACCAGTCCTGCCTTATGTCGCCTCTTGAATATTCCAGATAGGAAAACAAAGAACAATGTTGTCATCAGAAAGAAACTGAAACAAGCAAGAGATGTTTTGCAGGTGATTTTAATAACATAATCTCTATGGGAGAAGCACTTTCCTATCCTGTATACATCTTGATTCATTAAACATATTTAGACAATTCATTTTTGATTTAGACTAGTGGCTCTTCCTTTTTATTTAAATATTCTGTGTTTTTATTTTGTGTAGAAACTGTCTTCTTCATTTTTTGTCATCTGGCACTTGTGTTGTTCTTCTGGAATTGTGTAAATAATGTTTGAGGAGTCAATTAAACAGTTTTCGTGGGAGGTGGTGTTGTGTTTCTCATATCTTTGTCTGCTCCGTGTGTGCGTATGTGATTTGTTTTTTACTATATCACACATAAAATTACCTTATTTAACTCACTGAAATGTTTAAAAATGTGTTACAGTAGTTCAGCCAGTCTGCTTCATGCCTCGCTGATCTTAAAGAATTTTATTAAAATACTGGTATTCTAGAGTTAGACTTAGAGTTCAATTCAATTTCAATTAAATTTTTTTATTTGTATAGCGCCATTTCATAACGATAAGTTATCTCCAGGACAGCTTTTCAAATAAGAGCAGAGTCTAGACTGAACTCCTTTTAACATTTAATTACAGAGACCTAACCGCGCAGTACCACATGAGAGCTTGGCGATGGCAAAAGGAAAAATGCCTTAAAAGGCAGAAAACCTAGGACAGACCCTTTGGCTTCTAGTGGGTGGTCATCTGCCTCCCGACCAGTTGGTGGGGAGACGACAGGACGGCAACACTAACGATACACTAATGAAATGAAGAAGAATGTGATGACGACGACAGCAGCAACGATGGGGAAC